CAGACAAGAACTCAGCTTGAAGCCATTCCTTCTCAAGCCTTACCTTTAGAAGGGTGAAGGGCTTTGAGAGAGTAGAACTCTGTGTGTGAATTGAGCCTCTTCACCCTTAAGCCCTTCCTGGTCAACACATCTGCTTCATCGAGGGGACAAATGGCCATGAGTTTAACTCAAGAGGCCTTTAAGAAAGGAAGTTAAAGTATAAGAAACTGTTCTTTGAGTTTCTCTCTGCAAAAAAGATCAGTCTGAGAGGTTTATCCTCACTTCTGTTTTATGTCCGGAGAAGACCATTACTCTGCTTAGCTTTACTTTCAGAAGAGTGTTCTGCTGAACAGGGCAGGCAAGACACTTACTTATTGTTGCAAATATCTGCTGAATTAGACAAGTGCAGAAAAGGAATGACAGCAGAGTGACTGCTCCAGTGACTGAAATTTGTGAGCTGAAGCTTGGAGGACAAACTTAAGTTCTAAAAGAACATCAGACACATCACTTCAAACAGTGTCCTATAACAGAGCTAAGTTTGGAAACACTGTAGATTTGCAGTCCTGAAAGTGAAGTAGTTTAATCTGAACAAAAGCTTCAGTTCAGGCAGGGGCATGGGGCCTCACCAGTAGAAGAGCTTGCAGGCAAGGTAATTCTTTAGCCTCTGATGCAGGGACTGCTGAGTATGCGTGGATCCTTTCAGCTGTCCACAGGCACAGGTGGCATCGGATCATATGTAGTACTGTTATTCTCAGATACAGACATCTGTGTGTGTGGATATGTACCTACAGTCTGTCGTCTGTCTACCCAGTCATGTAATCATAGAAATATTAGACTACTTGTTTAAAGTAGTTGAGTTGATTTCGACTTATAGCGACCCTATACGACAGAGGATAATTGCCCCATAGGGTTTCCAAGGAGTGCCTGGTGGATTCGAACTGCTGACCTTTTGATTAGCAGCTGTAGCTCTTAAACACTATGCCACCAGGGTTTCCGACTAGTTGTTATATTTCCCTTTTGGTTTATTACCTGCCTTATGAGAGATACCATAATAGTATATGAAGTTCCATTTTCATCTTATCCTGTAATGTGAAACAGTATGTTTCAAAAGACATTTTTAAATAAGACCTTTTTCTTTAAAATTTAGTGAATTAATGCACATCTTTGGGTTGTTCGGGGGAGGGATAGGCTAGATGTTGGGCTTCTTGACTACAAATCAGTTTGTAAAAGGCCATACAGAAGACATGCTTAATATAATTCAACTTCTCTTCCATTAACATCTTGAACTATGGTATAAAGTTTTGTAGTTGTATTCTAGAAATATAGCTGACATTAGCATTCAAGTATACTGTTCAGTTTATCTCTAGTGAAAAGTCTTTTAAAATCAAGTTAAATACAGCACAAAGGACATAGAAAATCAATATTTCATTCCTTTTAAGTAAGATCTTTCTATTAACATTTGCTTGGGGTGCTTATAAATTTCTCCCTCTTCAGAAGTATTTTATAATAAATGTCAGTTATAGATTTAGCCATAACAAAAAATAGTGCAGGTTCTGTATACCTTTAGTATATCAGGTAAGAAACTGCTTAGCTAAGTATTTGTGTAGGAAATAATGGTAGAGTCTACTAACCAATATTTTTTTAAAATGTATTGATACTAATGGGACAACTTTTAGGACCTTAATACATAGAATATTATAGAACTCAGTAAGTGTATTGCACTTAAGATATTTTAAAACTTCCTTGCTTATTAGATTACCGATCATAACCACTTACACAGAGTAGAGATACTACAAGTATTTGCAGATGGATGTGAACTTAACTCACAAATGTTTTTCCTTTTTGTCTGATTACTCTCATACTAGTGCTTTGGGAGATTTAGTTGCCTTTGTATTATCTTTATAGTCTAAAGATTTTTATCCTGATATTAGCTTCAGTTAAGACTGAATTCCAGTAGCATTAGCAAGTGATTGATGGAACTGATTAAAAGTAATTCATTAAAGTATTAGAAATTGAACATTTGACAAATCTCAGTTTTCTAATAGCCATGTATGCATCACTAAGTTTAAAAGCACCCTCTAGGGGTGTTACTAAGGAAACATTTCTTCTTTTTCAGAAATAGCTAAGTCAAGTACAAGTTAACTACTCATCAGGTTTCTCTTATTCTGTAGAAGTCACCACATTGGTGAATTATTGTGGCAGCCAAAGTAGATAGAATAATGTTTTAGATTGGTCTCCACCACTTAAATGTGTAAAATGGAGAAAGCTTTGCTTTGTTCATATACACTGAAAGATAAATGAAGAGTAGATGTAGTTTTTATTGTTGTTGTTAGAGGAACATTGTAGGGCTCTACAAAAGGCATTTCCTATCAGATTCGTTTCTGCTTATGAGAGGTTGGTGAATTTGAGAATAAGAGAATTAGACAGTTGTAGGTTGACTTTGGTGAATAATATAGATGAAGAAAAATCAGAATTAATATCTAAATGAAAATATGTGACTGCTTTTTAAAAATGATATGGAGTATTTAAATCACTTACCTAGTTACTTTATCAGGAGATGAAAATATATAAATGAAACGTAGAAATTCTACTCTTCGTTAACACTGGCATGGTATTAGAAGATTATTAATTGTTCTAGTTGCAGGAAAAGCTGTTGATTTCTTGTTCCATTTGATTGTCTTATCCTTTAACCTTCTGAAGTGAGGGTAAGAAGATTAGTTTAAGAAGGCAGGGCCAGGCAATCTTGTATGTCTTAGGAAAGATGCCTACAACAAATTGTGCTTCCATGTCTGCAGTTGGTGTTGACATTTGCCCCCGTAAATTTTTCTCTACACTCTTTTTAATGACAAAAGAAAAGGCTCATCATATGTAATACTAACAGTTATTGATAGCTTCCTTAGATAGTTCTTAAAATTTCTAGGCATAATATAAAATATACCGTGTTGACACGGGTAAAAAAAGTTTGTGGTAGATTCATTAATAATTCATAAACCTGGCAGGAATTTTCTTCTTCTCCTAATCTTTACCTAACAGAAGATGGAGTTGGGTAAATACTTATAGATCTATATGCTTTAGATAGGAGAAAGCTACTCTGCAACCTAGTGTGGTATCACAGTATCTAATCCTTCCTTGAAAAAAATCTCTGAAGCAGTTTTTGTGGCCTTTGAAGTTAGGGAAATGTTACTTCCTGCTATCTCCACATGGATACTGTGTTGTTGTTTAGCTGCCATCAAGTCAGCCCCTGACTCGTGGTGACCCCCGCCCCCAACAAGATTGGACCATTGTGATCCATAGGGTTTTTCCATTGGCAGATTTTTGGAAGAACATCATTAGGCCTTTCTTCCTAGTCCATCTAAGTCTGGAAGCTCTACTGAAACCTGTTGAGCATCACGGCAACATGCAAGCCTCCACTGACAGATGAGTGGTGGCTGTACTTGGAATGCATTGGCCAGTAATTGAACCTGGGTCTCCCGCATGGAAGGCAGGAATTCTACCACTGAACGACTGCTACCCTCTGGATACTCTGCTAGCCCTTGGCTATTTGGTGTATCTTTAGAGTTTATATGTTTTCACTATGGCTGCAGGAGTTCAGGGCAAAGGGGCTCATTTAGCTGCAGATTTAACTGGGCAAACTCACTTCATCACTTTTTAAAGGGCTTAAGAGGAGAAGAAGGTATAATTTCAGGCCAAACAGTGCCCACTTAATACTTAATTGTAATTAAACTGCCACTTACATATGCACATGAACTTTTATAGTTGTAAAATATATTTATTATATTTTCTGCCATTGTGTATGTATGATTTTTCAGAGTGAAATCAAGAATACAATTTTTAGTTTTTGGTTGCTGTATTCTTTTAATCAAGTTAAGGGATTGGTTAATTTTCAGTTTGTGTGATTTAAAGGAAATGTATTTTTAAACTTTTCCTAAGTTTATTGTTGTTAGCTGCCATCGAGTTAGTCCCTGACTCATGGCGACCCCATGTACAACAGAAGGAAACACTGCCGGTCTTGTGCCATCTGTATGGTCTGTTGCAGATTGGATTGTTGTCATCTGTAGGGTTTTCATTGGCTGATTTTCTGAGTAACTCCATTATTAAAAGCCTGGCATATTTTTGTTGGTGATGGAGAAACAGTGGTGAAGAAAAACTCCTTCAAGGAGTTTTCCATTTTAATGGTTAGTGATAGATAATATTCATTTAAGCAAATAAATAATTTCAGATTGTGATAATTATAGTGAAGGAACCAAAATAGGCAGGTAATGGTTTTGGAGGGAGATGGGAGTGGGCAGAGTGGGAAAACTAATAGATAGGGAAGTAATAAAGGAGAGTCTCCTCAGAATACGACAAGGGGCCGATCAGGGAATGATCTGGGAGAACTTTTCCGTTATAAGGAAAGTAGATGCAAAGATTCTGACGTGTTCAGGGGATGGAAAGAAGGCTGGTGTGGCAGGCACATAGTGAGGGAATGGCAGTTGTTGAATTGAATATATAGGCTGGGCGAGACCATGCGGGCAGGGCCTTATAGATGAGGAGTTTGGATTTTTTTTTTTCCCATGCTTACAGGAGAAAGTCATTGGGATTTTAAGTGGGGGTAGGGGGGATATGATCTAATTTATACATTTGAAAGACCACTCTGGCTTCTGTGTAGAATAGATTGTAGGGGGCGAGAGAGTAGGCAGAGAAATAGTACAGACTCTTGCTGTTGTCCAGGGAAGAGGTTGATGGCTACTTAGACTAGAGTGGTGTCCCTGGAACTTATGGGGAGGGGATGGCTCATAATCTGTACATAATAGCGGAAATGTGTTGATTCTTTGCTTTCTTTACCTAAATCCTGTGGTTTCTGATGATTGTGTCAGCTTTGAATCTCACTAGATTGGGGGCAAAGGAGAGACTTGCTCCGAGGGCACATGGATGAGTTAATTTATAGCGTAGACTTCTACCAGTCAGATTTTGTCTTCCTGAGTATTTCAAGTTACAGTATTTATTTGATTTGTTTTAAATGTGACATTTTGTTGTTGCAGGAAATGTTTTCGTATTTGTCCGACGAGCTAAAGAAGCTGTCAGAAGCCTATAATGAAAGACTGTTGCATACACCTCGCAATCCCATATCTTTAGGTAATTTGTTTTCCTTTAAAAAAAAAAAACAATATTTTGAACCATCCCCAGAAGGAAACAGGTATATTTAAAAAGAGAATGAACTCTTCCCTGGTTATAATATTTCTAAATTCACTAATTGTAGTATTAATTTGTAAATTGAGAAAGTTTAATTAGCCTTTAGAAATATTCTAATGTATTTCTAAGTTGTAGCCTATACACTGAAAGAATCAGAATCAGTGTTAAGTATTATAGTGAATATACAGAAAATAATACTTTAAATCCGGCTTCTAACCAAAATAAGTTGATCACTTGAACTCTATATACATAATTAAAAATTCGGTCAGCTAACAGAGCACCAAAAGATCAGAAATTAAAGATTTTCTTGTATTGTGTTTTTAATGCTGTTGCTTATATCTTGAGCCTCTCCATGTTAGCGAAATCTGTGTTTATGATAATTTTATTTGTATAATAAGTATTTTTATCATGTAATACAAGGGCTGCTAAAAATGATAATATGAATATTGACATTTACACTATTAAGTAACCTTTAAGCTTCATAATTATCGCTTGTAATATGTGAATATGTATAGTGTAATGTCTTTCATATTTTACATTTACCTAAGTAAGGAAAGTGAATCTTTTGTAACTGAAACATTTTTCAGGAATGGGCTTCCATGGAAAACCATTCAGGCACCAACAGATATTAAAAACCATCCCAGTTAGTCCTTTGCTGGCTTATAACCTATACAGATACTGTAGAAGATGGCATGGTGTGGTTCTAATTCCAATTCTGCCATCTACTAGCCTCTAACCTCCTTGTCCCTGTCTGTAAAAAAGAAATTATTATCCCTTACATGCAGAATAGTTAAAAGATTGATCACAGTTATGCTTGTAAAGTGTCCAGTGTGATAGTGAGTTAGTCTTCAGTAAATGGTAGCTAGTAATGGTGATAGGAATAGAATACAGTTTGCCTTCACAACCTCAGAAAGATCATTTCCACGTAGTCAAGTCATTAATAATATATGCCACATTCTCATTTTGCAAATTCTTAAAATTTGTTGAATTTGTATAAACTGTCATACAGGTCATGCCGTTTTACCATCTATTTAGTTGGAAAATGCTCTGTCTGCAGGGGTGATATGGAAATGCTGTTTCAGATTCTGAGCATGTTAATTCCCATTAAAATATTTTTGTCTGATATGTAAACAAATCCTTGCCATAATTTAAGGGCATTAAAGTGAAATTGTGCCATTTGACAGTGACCAAAAAGTAATGTCTTCAGCATTGAGTTTGTTTTTTAGTGATTTCTGTGCTGGTAAACAAGGCTTATTTGGATACTTTCTTCTTTTTCAGCTGTGACACTTAAGACACTGGATGAACACCATGACAAAACTGTCACTCAGCTTGGCTCAATGCTTTTTACCAGACAGGTTTCAGGAGCCAGGTGTGTATGTTTAAAAGAGGCCTGGTTTTATTTGGCCTTACAAGTTAACTCTAATAAAGTACCTGCCCTCAACAGTAGTCCTCCAAGTATATGCTGAACTCTACGTGAAAATTCATCTAGGGTGAAAGGATGAGGAAGTAGAGAATCTGTAAGGCTGGCATACGCCCACCTGTGTACTGCTTACACTTGAAATAGTCACAGAAAGAAATGACTCTTGTTTGTTTTAATAGACATAAGAAACAAAGTTTCAGTAGTTCTCCGCACAAATTATTTTCTTTATTTTTCCTTTGTTAGATGATCTTCAGTGGTGTTATATTGTGGTGTTAGAAATAAGGCATGATTCATTACGAAATTCAAGTGAAAACGTTGTTGAGGAAAAGTCTGTTTCCTAAACTAAAAAGGTTGTGCAATTTTTGCCCAGTTCTGCCTTTGAAAAATGTGCTTTTTCCTCTTACATGTACATGGCTTGAAAATGCCTTCCATTTTTCGTTTTGTATTTGATGAGGCTAGAGAAAAATGACTTGAAAAGAAATATCTTGCTCTAAATATCTAATTACTTTTCTTTACATGCTTCTAATAAAGAATTTCTCTCTGACTACCAGAGGTTAGGGATTGTACATCAAAGGACCGCTTTTTTAAAAGAAAAATCTTAGATTAATTTAGCTTTTACCCTGTTAAAGTGTATCTGTATACAGCATAGTTTTGACACTTCCAAAAGGGTTTTCTTGACCTTGCTTTTAGTGTTGCCCTATTTTTGTGTTTAGTTACTCATCTTAACTGACTTTTTTTTAAAAAAAAATGTGCTATTAGAAATCTGCTTATATCTAAGCATGCCAGTGACATCAAGCTTTAAAAACACATGTGCTAGAAATCAAGCTTAAAATGTGCATGTGCTGAATATTACTGTTTGTTGACCACTACTCCACTGTGAGCAGTTACATAATTCTCCTGGATTCTTGTTTAATACCCTTCATTGCATAGCACTGATCAAATAGCTGAAGTTTTAGTTACTATCGCTAGTTAATTGTTTGTGGTGACACAAGGCAATTAATCAGAGTGGTTTGACTTACGAATTTCAGTATCCCAATGAACTGTGAATATATGAAGTCAGATTCTAGACTTGGCATAAAAACGGAAATAATTTCCTTTGACTTCTTGGAAGTTGTAAAGATGTTTGATTCCTAGAGCTTATAGGTAGCTCTTTATACAAGAGAAGTAAATGGCAATCACCAGGCAGTGGACTTTTCTATGTACAGTGGCAGTTTATTGTATAATTTTATTTTAAGACTGACTCCAGTTATTTGCATAGGCCATGATTAACAACTCTTAATAAGTAGATAAGCTTTAGTAACAGGTATCTTTTGTTTATGGCTGACACTCTTTTAACATCACCAGACATATTAAATTGGTAAATATTTTCCATTTCAGGGTTGTGCCTCTTGGGTCTGTGCAAACTGTGAGTGGCTACACTTTCAGAGGCTTCATGTCACATACAAATAATTACCCATGTGCTTACCTCAATGCTGCGTCAGCCATTGGAATGAAGATGCAGGATGTGGACTTGTTTATCAAGAGACTTGACAAGTGTTTAAAGATAATAAGACGAGAACAAAATAAAGAGAGTGATGTATCTGGAGTTAACAGTTATGACACAACTGAAGATGTGGATATTGGAGAAATGGCTTTAAAACTTGGTAATGTACTTTGTGACACATAGCAGGATGCCTCTTCATGAAATGAGAAGGGTTTCTTTTTTGATAATTTGAAAGAAATGATGTGCCTGCAGTACAAACAAGCAGTTTAAAGAAAAGAGTTGAGATTTTGGATTGAGAATTCATGGAGAATATTTAAAGAACAGACTGGTGTGAGCTAGCCACTGGTGATTGTTACGTTTTTAATTCTTAGACTGCCTCAATCCTTATGGTCCTTAACAGATTAGAATAGACAGCATTTTTCTAATTGTTAGAATGTTTTTCAGTTAAGCTCTATGATTCACATAATTCTTGCTAATATAATGACAGTAAAATCACCTCTGACTCTCTGAAATGTGTACACTATGTTCTCTTGACTATTTTCAATCATTCACAAATTACTTGTTTCTGATCACACGGAATTTAGAAAGACCTCTAGTGCTACTAATTGCCAGATGTTTGTTGAGGTGTATAAGTCAACAGGATGCCTGTAAAATGGACATTCCCCAAGGAAGCCGAGTCAAGATGTCAGCTTTAATTTTCACTCTAAAGCAGTGATTCTCAACGGGAAGTGATTTTGCTTATATCCAAGCAATGTGTGGGACATTTTGGTTGTCACAAATGGGAGATGCTCTTAGCATCTAGTGGGTAGAGGTCTGGGGCGCTACTAAATATCCTGCAGTGCACAAGACAGTCTCTTACAACAAAGAATTATCCAGCCCCAAATGTCAGTTTTTCATTGTCTAGCTTTCACATGCATATAGACACTGAAAAAGGAAGACCAAAGAAGAATTGACACATTTGCATTGTGTTCATGAAGAATATTGAATATACTATGGACTGCGAGAAGAACCAACTAGTCTGTTTTGGAAGCAGTACAGCCAGCATGCTCCTTAGAAGTGAGGATGGCAAGACTTTGTCTCATGTATTTTGGACATGTTATCAGGAAAGACCAGTCCCTGGAGAAGGACATCATGCTTGGTAAAATAGAGGTCAGTGAGAAAGAGGAAGACCCTCAGCAAGATGGATTGACACAGTGGCTGCAACAGTGGGCTCAAACATAGCAACAATCGTGAAAATGGTGCAGGACCGGGCATCGTTTGATTCAGCTGTACACAGGGTCACTGTGAGTCGGAACCAAGTTGATGGCACTTAACAACAACAAATGTCAGTAGTTCTGAGGTTGAGAAGCACTGCTATAAATGATCTCAAGTGAAAAGAAGTTTTCCATAGCAACTTTATTTAGTAGTACTTCAAAGAAGATAGCTTCATAAATGTTATCAAACTATACTGCGTTAAGAATCTTAACAGATAACCAGGGTCACCAGTTCTAAACATGAAATTATAAATTGTTTTATATGGTACTTGTGCATTTTTTCATCTGGGCAAGTGCAAACTTTATTCCACTTACTGTCTTTGCATGAAGCAGCCTTTATATATTGGTTAGTTTGTTCAGGTCTTGTGCAGTCATCATCAAGATTGGTTTCACCTGAGTATTTTTAAATTTTGCTAGGGAGGTGAAAATGATGTAGTATTATAAACAGACGTATTTCCCCAAACCCCATGCCAATTTTCTGGGTCTGAAATTCCAGGCTTATTGGTTATAATAATTATTTTTGTTGTTAATTTTAAGGAATAGACTGGTGTATGAAGGTTCTGAACTAATCAGAGCACCAAAATGCGTTTAACAAAACCTGCTCTGTGGAGCATTATTCCCAAAAGACATTCTTGGGGAAAAGAAGGTTCCATAGGCAAATAATTTCAGGAAAAACCTTTGCAAACATGCCTATTGACGTATTAAAGGCTCTAAGAATTCTTTCAGTAAAGAAACCAGTTTGAATGCATCCTTATCCAAAGGTAGAGTCCATTTTAAAATTAAATACCTACTAACATCCCATTGAACACACTTTGCAGAGCACTGCAGCGGAGAGTGCTGTGCTGATGACTGGATTGTAATTTTCTGTATTGATTTGGCAGTGTAAGCTATGTACGAGAAAGGGGTTTTCTGGTACGTTGGTGACAACTGTACAGTCTCCCAGATCATTTGTAACCTGAGCTGAGACAGACACCACTCCCATTAATGTGTAAGTTAGAGTACTTTGGACTTTGGCTTGACAACCTGGAAGTCAAGACTGTTGGGATAAAGTACTTAATTATAAATATTGTAAAGGTTTTTTTTTTCCAAATTTATCTTTGGGGTTCAAACCTTCTAAGATTTTTATTTATTATTTTTTTAAGCTATAGTAACTCATTTCAAAGGCGTAGATCCTGGATTAAAAAGTTGTGCCATGTGTTTTATGTGAATTTGAGGCTGAATTGTAGAACCAGTAAAGCTGAAGAGTTACAACAGAACCTCTGGAACCTGAGGAAGGGAGTGAAGTGATGTTGCAAATGGAGACGCTGGCAGTGCAGCTTACTCTACACGGAAGCCAAAATTGTTTTATAGAACAAGTGGTCTGTATTGTGTGATCATCATTTAGCTTAAGAAAGGCCAGAGCCAAGAGACTAGCAAATGTTTCTCATCTGCAGTGTATCAGCAGTTCTTGGGCTTCAGCTGCTGAATAAATAATAATTCTAATTGAAGATAAATTACATGAACCCACATGTGAATGATAGATACGTTGTAAAATTTTGTTCCTGATGCATAAAATCAGCTGCCGCTTTTATTATTAACCCTTCCTTTTATAGGGCTTTTGGAATTCTGCCGTCTTCCTGCTGACTTAAAATTTGACCTTGAGGTCACAACATTCATAAGGAAGCCTTCGAAGGGATGTTGTAGGTTCTGCATACTCAGGCATTCCTTTGTCCCCTCTCTAGTCTTTTTTTTGCTCTCTCTCCCATTTCCCCATATAAGTATAAAGAAATAATGTACATAAAATTATTTATTTTAAATTGCTAGCCCTGATTGCTAAGCCTCATAATTGGCCCTAGCTGTCTTTGTACTGTGGCGGAGGGACAACGGATGATACGTTTTCCAGTCATTGACTAAGATGACCTTTTCTATCTATAATTGAACAGTTCTTACTAAGGCTATCAGGTAGAATTCAGAAATTTTTTTTTTTTTTTTTTTAAATCATTGAGCTGCAGTCATCTACCTTGGGAAAAAAAAAGGAATAACAAAATATTCTTTAGGTCAGTGCACAATGTGTTAGGTATACACATAGCAGTGAAAGGTGCTTTACATCGAAGTCTCAGTTTGGCTGCTGATGAGTTCTCTGTTGGGATGATATGTGATACCGGCCGTAGGAACCCAGTGTTCAACTATAAATTTTTCTCTTTAGCTTTTTGTATTAGTTGGATGAAGTTAAATAATATGAATTATTGAATTCGGTTCTGTTCAGCCACTAAGCACTTTTAATGGTAAATTTAAATATAAATTAACTTCTCTCTAATATTTTGACCTACCCATGTAACTGCTATGGTTCTGCTGCTTTAACAGCTCTACTATAAGGACTGTCATTGAGGCCTAAGAAACAAAGATTTTTGTATTTATTAATGATGTTGCTTTAATATTGAGTTAGTAGCTCATCCTGAGACTTAAGTTCTTGTGGCCTTTCACAGAAGAAAATAACCAACAAAGACAAAAAAAAACCCCGGCAAGTCTCATTCATGTTACACTCAGAGAAATCTTTTGGAATACATATAAATTTGGTGCATATGAAAGTTGGGTTTTCTTTTTCCACTAAGGTGTACTAATTTCTGCCAAACCCTTAAATGGTTTTGCATTCATGAGGTGACCTTATTTTGTAACTGAAGAAGAATCCAGTTTTGAGTGCATAAAAGTTTGGTCATTTCAGAAGCTTCCTAACCTCTGAATAACTTGACAAAAGAACCATTGAATATGCTATTAACAGTGTAAAAATAAAAGGTTCCTGTAAACACTGTGTTCATTATCTGTCTCTTAGGCTCCTCTTAGTATACAGGCCTAAGACACACCCACTGCATTTTTTTGTGCCTTACTTTTTACTTTCATGCTCCTTTTAGCCATTATGGTATGTACACATAGAAGATGAGTTCAAGGCTAATGAATATATTTTTGCAGTTTCCCACCTAGTATTCTGCAGTAGTTCAGGCTAAGGTTATACACAAAACCGGGAAATGTTTATGCTGGCTCTTTTTTAATCAAGTGGTGTCGACTTGAACTTTTAGAGAAATGTGATAAAAGGCTATGTTTAACTGAAACTAAGGAGCCCCGGTGGCGCAGCGGTTAAAGTGATTAACTGCTAAATGAAAGGTCAGTAGTTCAAAACCACCAGTGGCTCCGTGGGTGAAAAATCTCTGCTTCTGTAGAGATTTACAGCCTTAGAAATCCTTTGGGGTCGCTATGAGTTGGAATCAACTGGATGGCAGTGGGTTTGGTTTGGGTTTTGGTAACAAACTGAAATTTTCGCCAGCAGAGTGTGAAGTTGATGTCAGGCTGCTAACCTGTATGCTTTACCAAAAGAAAAAGATGTTTTCAAAAGTATTTTTGGTGTACACTGTTTAAAAAGAAATCAATTGTATAATTGATTACATCAAATTATAATAAATTATTAATGATAGGGTGTTATCATTGGTATAGGTAAAATCTGAAAATACAGATAACTCACACTAACTTCCTTGCCCATTTCTTGGTTCGATCATCAGTATAAACTTGCCTAGAAATCATCAAGAAAAATCATACCTATAATAAGAATCAGGAGCTTTGGTGGCATTGTGGTTAAGAGCTTGGCTGCTAACCAGAAGGTCAGCAGTTTGAACCCACAAGCTGCTCGTTGGAAACCCTATCGGGCAGTGCTACTCTGTCATGAGTCGGAATTGACTTGATGGCAACAGATTTGGCCTTTTTTTTTTTTTTTTTTAATAAGAATCATGAATCATAGGGTTTAGATTATTTTTTTTTTAAAAAGAAGACAACATTCTAGCACCCATTTTGCAAAGGATCTGTTAACAGTAGGAAGTTGTACACTTACAGCATTTAATCTTTCAAAAAGAAAAACTTCATCTTTTATTTGAAAATAAAACAGATTAGTATCACTCCCTTTAGCAGATTTCACTTCTAAATTGTACTGTTTGAATTTTGCAGGTAGTTGTCATTTGACTTGGAGGTAGCTCTCTGCACTGATACTATGTGAGCTGTCATATTTAACCTCTGAATCAAAGTCTCGTGGAATGGACACCACCTTATAGGATTGTGCGAGTCAAATGAGACTATGTAAAGTGATGAACTCAGTGCGTAAAACAGTACTCGCTGTGAATAACTGCTATTATGTGCTGCAGAAAGCTATCCAATACTAAATTGTACTAGATTTGAAATACACTCATCATCAAGTTTATTCAGTAGAGCTTTTTTTGAGGGGGGAGTCACCAGT